GTATAATCCCAGTTTTACATATATGAACACACAGTAGGCAGATTAAATAACTAGAATGAAATACAATAAAATGTTAACAATGATTATTACTGGGTGGTGGGATTACAAGTGGTTTTGTTTTTTCTTTATATTTTCTAAATTTTCTACGATGTTTATTACTTTTATAAAAAGTCATAAACAAATATGTAAAAAAACCCTGTAGTCTCAAGGAATGTTAGGAATATCATTTAATCTATAAACATACTCATCCATTGACTCGCCTTTTCAAAAAAAATTTTTTTCTTTTTTTGAGTCGAAGTCTCATTTTGTTGCCCAAGCTGGAGTGCAGTGGCACTCTGCTCACAGCCCCCATAGCCTCAACCTGCTAGGCTCAGGCGATCCTTCACTATCTAAGTCTATGTTTTTGCAGATCTGAGAAGGACTTGTATCATTTGAAATGCATGTTTGTATGGAATTTTCTTTTTGCCATATTCTTGAAAATATTGTTGTTGTGCTATTTGAAACTCACCCCATTCCCTCCCCTTTCTTTTCCTCACTAGTTAGATAACATGAAAAATTTTAATTGGTAGAAGGCTTTGATGAGGTATGCATATATTTTACCCAAATTAAAAGCATGCTCAACTGGTGTCAAAGAGAACCAGGAAAAGTTAGATGCAATATCATTATGTAAAAAAAAAGAAAAAGGAAAAGGAAAAAATAGTAAAAGTAGCAACATTTGTTTATATTTGTGGTAATTTACTTGCTGATGCTACCATTTAAATATGCTATTGTGGACAACCCTGTTGTCTATTACAGAATATTAAATTTATTCCATTGGTGTTGGAGTAGTTTTTTGGTTAACTAAAGTCAATTAAGAATGATATACATGTCAGCTTGGAATTCAATCAAATTTTCACATGAGCACTCCATGTTTTTCTCTTTTTTGATCCCCCCAATACCTTATTATTCCCAACATTTTTCTTTTTATCAAAATCTTATTTTGGTGAGGAAATACCCACTTTAAAAGAAAAAAAGTGCTTACAACACAAAGGCTTAGAAAAAGAAACACTAAGAGAAAGAAATAGATGTTTATTAGTTGGAAATCATGTATTGTCTCTATAAAAATTTAAATAAAAATCTTACAAAAATTCACATTACAATTTGATGTGGTTTTATGGTGATAGTATGTTTCAGAGGTAGTACCAGTAAAATGGGATGCAATCTTGCTAAAAGGAATTGCTTAACAAATTAATGCAAAATAAAATTTCAATGTGGAACAATATATACTCAGTATACACTTTAATGGAACAATCATAATTACATACGCATGAAAATATCACTTTACTCTCTTTTCACCCTTAGCAAATTTACTCTTAATAAAGATTTGTTTTGAGCAATGGTATGTTGACAGTAGGCTCGCAAGTTAGTAGGCTCCTCCAATATATTATTAAGGAGCATAGCTTGGTGAAAAGCATGATACAGAGCTGTCTGCCAAGGATAACTCAAACTTTAAAGAGAAATTTACCCACTTACTCATCATTTAGGTATAATGGTACTGATGACTCTCTTAAAAAGTTAATGTACCAAATTTTTGCCAGTTTAGGACCTAAATGAAATCTAATATATTAAAAAATAGACAATATCCCTGGTATATCATCGTTGTGATGTGGGAAAAGGGTAGGAATTAAAGTTTTCAGAATTTCTTTAAAATATTATCATAAGCTATCAGGCTGAGATGAAACTATCTCCTGGAAATGGGTTGAAGCCTCTCCCCCTCATACATACAAAAAAAGGGCAATGAAGTTAGTTTTAGAGCCCAAAATTATTTTGAATCCACCACTTATGTGTTTTTTCCTAAAAACTTACAAACTGCTGAATATGAAAGTGCCTCACAATAGACATTACTGTCTTTAGAGAAATAGTCTACTGGACATCTTTTGAGGTCTTGGTATCATACAGAGAAGAGAATATGATTGGGCCTCAGCCTTTCTTCTCCAATAATAACAAACATCCCTATCACATGACTGCAATGGCAGTACAAAAGTCCTGATGCTGGTAACTGACCTAACAACAATATATCCCCAGGTTCCATGAAGAGACTAATATTCTTTTAATGTTTTCCTTGCATGTGCTAATTTTCCTATTCTCCAGGGCAACTGCAATTCTCATTTTCTTGTGACTAAGTTTTGCTTGGCTGAAATGAGGAAGGTACTTTCCTCTTTTTAAATACATATTTTGGAAAATAAGCGCTCTTACATATTTCTTGCTTCTAAACCACTTGGCTTTCCTAAGCTTAAAGCAGATATCAACATGTAGTGAAAGAAAAGAAAAAAAGTTTTTTTTCACATTGGCTTCTATTTCCCTGAGAGTTGTTTCAGATAGTATGGTCTGTTTTAATATTGTCAAAGCCCTAAAGAAACACTGGTTGATTTTTATCCCCAACCATGAAGATATTCATAACAGCAGTCATAAGCTGATTGGTTTTCCTGCTCTAAAATTTTTCAAAATCAATTCTAATCTATATGCATGAAAAATATACCTTCTTCATAATATTTTTAAATAACTGACCTTGACATCTTTTTCAGTCTACTATGCATAATTTCAATTGGCTAATTATGATTCTTTTTTTTTTTTCTGGATATGTCTGTTTCTTTTTGTTCCTGCTACAGAACAATCACATTTCCTATTAGAAGTGTTTTAATTCTAATGAAAGTAAAACAAATAATTCTGGTGATGAAACACCAGTGCCAAGACAAAAGAAGTCCTTAATGTACTTTTATGATTTATATAGCTTCTATTTTAACATAATTCTAAACAGAGACAAGAAAATCATCTATGATTCCTCTCAAAATTATAGACAAGGACTCCTAGGAGTCACACCTAACACAGTCTTTATAGTTATTAAAATTTTTACTTAAATAAGTTTTGTTATTATCCCAGAAGTTAACAAGAAATATTCTTTGTGAAGTTTGCAGCTTGCTGAGAAATCCATTGACCAGCATGGTGCCTTTCTTATAGCAGGAGTGCAACCAATTTTTTTTTTTAATTTAGTGGCTAATTGCTGAGGTGTGACAAACACAAGCAATAGTATTGAAAGATGTGGGAAATAATCACCTATCCATATTTTGAAATGAGAACCAAATAAGAAGAAGGGGCTTAAAGTGAAGCAGAAGAAATTAGAGTTGAAAGATAAATTTAATGACTGGGAAGTAGACTCTAGGAGAGACTTGAAGACCTGGAATATGTTCATGCTACTTATGAAATGGTTCCTATATTTGCTGCATATAGTGGGGACTCTGTCTCATGGAGGAATTGGTGTGACTGATAAGCTTAATCCTTAATGACTGAGGTTCTGTTACTTTGTGTTCTTTTCTTTGAATGGAATTCCTCCTGTCAGTAAGGAATACCTAAACACTGACTGCCAAAAAAATATGACTCTCAGCTAAAAGGTAACTTGCCTGACCACTAAAATATTTCTGCTAACAAAGGAATTGTAGCAGTATGGCAGCAATATAAAATCAAACAAATAATTTGACAAAATGAAGGACATTAATGAACCTTAACTAATTATATGGTGTGGGGGGGAGCATTTCAAGGCTAAAGACATTCACGACTGTCTTTCTGGATTTGTAAATTGATATTGGTGAATTTAAAGATCAAAATTGGCTCTAGCTAAACTATTTAAAAATATCTCAAGTGGAAATTTGGCGACCAAACAGCCATTTAGCTACTTCATTAATTTTTTAGGTATAGATAGTAATTTAATCACACAATACAATTCCACATTGCCATATCACAAATATATGACACGGTGAACTTAAGGAGAAACTGACATTTTTCCATCTATGGGTCTTGATAATACCATCCGGTACCTTGGAAAGGAAGATCTGCAAAGAACTGTCTACAGTGTATTGCTATCTGGTACCTACTAGTAGAACAACTGGAAAGCATGCCCATTATAGGTGTGTACTCATAGAATAGTATCTAGGATATTTAAAGGGTTGTGATTTCCAACCAAGTAGTACAGTTTTTAAAAAATATTATACTTGGCTGATTGCTCTGTACAGGCCTCATATGAAAATGAAGTAAATTTTGTGGTAATGTTGAGTGACAAAATAAAGAAAAAACCTCAGTGGCTTACCTTGATTTCCTGTTTCATAAAATGTAAGAACTGAAAAAATATTATGAAGATGGTAAAAAAATTACGAAGATGGTGATAACTTGAAATATTTGTGCAACATTTCATTTAATTCAGTTACATAAATTTAGTAGTAGAGTGTGAATCTTATCAATATTTGTCATTTGCAGTAATGAAGAATTTTCATTAAGACTAATATAATGTTTTATAGCATTTTGTTTCTGTACAGTAATTCAGAATTAACTTTCCATTATGCTTCCCCCCTCCCACAAATATTTGAGTTAGATAATAGAAGAATATCAGTAATTTACAATTACAAACTTGTAATCACATTATTTTTCAATCATCACCTTAAGTCAAATTCTCATAGGGGTTAAAAAATAAATCCTAGATGTTAAATAATATTTTAAAGTATTATCTTTAATTTTCAGTCCACTTTCCTGAGTAAAAGTGAATGTGGATGATAGAAAAAAATTGAGAAATAAGGAAGATGCAATGGCTACAAAAACAAGATTAATCAAACTTTTATCAACTTGACAAGTAATGTTGAAATACCTTTATTTTTGTGTCTCTGAATAAAACTATTGCTAAATTAAGATTCTCCTGTTAAAAAAAAAAACACACAAAACTTCCAGAAATTAGACATAATGCATTTCATGGCTGAACTGCTCAAAATTAAATACAATTTTTTCCAGAGTTCTATCAATTTAGAAAAAAAACAACAAAACTATCAAACAATGCTTTTAAATTTCACATACATTGTTTTTGTATTGTAGCCATTGTATCTTGTGTATCCTTCACAGACTATGTCTGTTTCAACAATGTGTTTTTCCAACTGAGGATTATTGAAACAATAGAATGCAGTTATCTTGAAATGCACACCTGTTATGCAGCCATAAGGCTGTATCATATTTATTCCTCCCACTCTTAAATCACAAACTGTCTGAGGCATTTTTCTCTGATAAAGAAGACACACTGAATGAGGTATCATCAGGCTCCAGCGAGGCATGATTGAACTCCATCTCTTCTAATTCAGGAGGTAAATCTGACAGCAGTGCCTGAGTCAGAAAGATCAATTTTTCTGGATTAGTATGTGGATAGATTTTTTCCCCAGTTTATGATAATAGTTTTAGTCCTCTCATGTTGATTTATTTAAAGAAAAAAATCATTTCTCTTTCACAGTCTTATATGACATATAATAAAAGAAAATTGTTTCATATACTATTAAGGCAGTAACAAAATACTAGATTTTTAAAAAATTTTTGTAAAGAATGTATACTTTGACTTTTTATTTTTCCAAATATAAGTGGCATTATTGTAATAGGCAATTATTCTTTTTTTTTTTTTTTGAGTTGGAGTCTCACTCCATTGCCCAGGCTGGAGTACAGTGGCATACTCATTGCTAACAAGCAAGTAATATAAATTATATATCCAAATTTTTAGATTCAAAGACATTCAAGGTTAGAGTGTAATGATATTGCATGTATTTTCTTATTATCTTTTGAATCAAGTTAAAACTCCTTACCTAACATTTGATGCTTTCTATGAACCTATTCCACATTCATTCTTTGCTTCTCTGGGAAATAGTTATTAAATACTCACTATATGCAAGGTATTCCATGAAATAATATACGTGTCTTTTAAGTTTTTATACATATTATTATTTTTATTTAGAAAAGGTGTTGCTTTTTCTTTTGTCGATTCATATTCTATTAATTCTCTGAATCTATGTTAGGTCTTGTTCCATGAGCTCCCTTAGAAAACTCAGAGAACTGGATAAAAAACATGTGGTGCATATACATGATGGAATATTATGCAGCCATAAAGAAGGACAAAACTATGAACTTCACAGCAACTTGGATGGGCTTAGAGGCTATAATACTGAGTGATCTATTGCAGAAACAAAAAACTGAGTATCACATGTTCTCACTCATAAGCGGACCTTGAACAATTATTGGAACACTATAAGAAAGGGGTTGGCAGTAGTGGGAAGCTGCTGGGGGAGGGCATACATAACTCATCAACAAGGGTGCCTGCATAATTAACATTTGTAAACCTAATCCTGAAGTGTACCACACATACTCAAAATAAAAAATTAAATAAAAAATAAGAAAAAGAACAAAAACCACACAAATACTAGATGTTGAGTGTATGGATTATATAGAGTGGAACCCTGTACAAAGGGGAAATCAGAAGGGAAATGCGTAACTGTTTTGAGTCAAGTGCTTTGAAGTATTTGATGTAAGTGATTTTCATACCAGTTTTGAGTCACTGATCACTGCTAAAGGGTCTTAAAATTGTGTTCTTTATTAAAATATTCATGCCAGTTATGCTATCTTTTAGAGATAGTCACATTTCACAAAAGAGTATTCTGCTCTTCAGCGGGTGAATGAACTTAGCAGTTAGGAAAAAAGTTTAGCTATTCTGCTTTAGCCTAAATTCTAATAACTTAAAAAGACCAAGTGATTTTTTTTTCTTTCTTTAACTATGTGCATATCTATAGATGACTAAACACCTACTAGGCACAGCTGAACCAGTGGATCTAGCTGTAGAAATGATGAATCTGGAGGGCTGCTCATTTCTCTGCTGTAGTAATCAGGTTAAGTCAAGAACCATGGACTAATTGCCATGGTCTAATTGTTTCATCTGGAGTTGTAGAACATATATCTATACTGGAAAAATAAAAGATGAATCAAGTTGTATGTGGCTGACAGTGCTGATGCTCACTTAGCCATACGAAATTCTGAATTATATGATTGACTTGCTGCTTTCAATACTAAAAATAATGTAGCATATCTGGTAATTTTTAGATAGCATTACTTGTAGTGTGGGCTTTGGGTGCAGTGGTAAACAAGGACCAAGGGAACAGGAACAAATGAAAGTTTGCCACTACCCAATTAAAGAACAGAAGATAAGGCATGTTGGAGAACATATAAAATCCATTGTTGAAAAATAAGACAATATTCTCCTATTCTTTTTATGAAAATGAATGACAGCTACAAATCCTATATTTTTGCCTTGTGGCACAGAGGCGAGATAAAAAGTTTCTCTTTTCTTTGTCAGGCTGTGTACGGAAAGACTAACTCCTATTTGGGGGAATGCTGTTGTTTACTTTCTATGATTAAATTGCACATGAACTTCTTGTTGAAGCAGAGCATTTACACAGTAAGGTAACCTAAAGGTACTACATGCTTTTTAAGGTGCTGGCTTGCAGAAATAAGGCACAGGGCCATTTTCTTCTAGAACAGTGGTTTACCACTAACCCAGTCCAAGTGCAATGGAGCCTTTGCTGACATTTGCTGATCAGTCTACGAGAAGTACATCACTGGATTTAGTTCACTTTGCAATTTTGAAGATGCCATATTAAAGGGGGAAAAGTGTTCAAACTAACACTCACTGAACTTATGTTTAGAGTCAGAAAGTCAAGTGGATGAGGAGGTTTAATGATAGAATATCGGGGAGACCTGCAAATCAGAGAAACACTATTACTTATTTCTTTATCATTGCACTACATGTGGTTGACTGACTAAAATGAATGTAGTAAGAAATATAAAACATTAATATGTGAAGCAGTATAGGACACTACTAATATATAATGTTCATTTGTAATTCTTCTTTTAATATTTCACTTGATTGCAACATTGATACATCTAACAAATTTTAGGATTATGCCAATTGTTGGAGTTGCCTTTTTCATAGATATTAAAGTAAACATAATTAACTTTATTACAGGTTCTTCATAAATGATAACTATCTTCAAATTCTGACCTAGTGTATTAGTCTTCCCAAGAGATAAAAGCATTTCCCAAGTATACAATTAGTTTCTGTAACACTTACTGTAGGACCTAGAGTATGAAATCCAAGTACTGTAGCATTAATAATTCTTATCCTCTTTGCAAAGTGGAGAAATAGAAATTCACGAAAGGTAATTGACCTGACTAGGATCATACAGTGAATTATCAGGGGAAGAAAGATCGTAACTAATGACTTAGTACAATGCTGGCAACATAATTTTGGTTTTAAAATGGCAACTGATTTAACAAGAAATACAATCTTTAGGTAATCTAATGTTTCTGTCAGAGAGTGTCATATTTTTTTCCAAACTCTAGACTTTGCTTTTGGACCAAAATATTCTGAAGACTACTCATCACAATTTACCCAAATCAAGATGAATGGAAAAACACAGAAGATGATTTTTAAATGAAAAACCAGTGACACAATAGTTCTCTTCTATTAGGTAGAACAAAAAATATTTCCTTGTAGAATAAACCTCTAAGTATTTAATAATGTAAAGGCCAGTAGTGTAATAAATCACCTGGATAACTTTTGAGGACTACTACTGATGTCCTCCATATTTTGAAACCATATTTTGAGGTTTATTATACCCAATCTCAACTATGGAAATCAGAAATTTCTATTTGGGATGCTAATTACATTGGCTATGATGTTCAGTACAATTTTCGTATCACTTTTTTCAGCCAATTTTTGTTCATATCTTAATTTATTAGTCCTGTACCAGAGGAAAAGTAGAAGAGAATGATAAAAAATAATACACAGCCGGGCACAGTGGATCATGTTTGTAATACCAGCACATTGGAAGGCTGAGGTAAGAGGATTGCCTAAACTCAGTGGCTCGAGACCAGCCTGGGCAACTTGGCAAGACCTTGTCTCTACAAAATATCAAAAAATTAATGGGGCATGGTGGCACATGCCTGTAGTTCCAGCTACTTGGAAGACTAAGGTGGAAGGATCACCTGAGCACAGCAGGTCGAGGCTGTGGTGGCCATGAACATGCCACTTCACTTCTGCCTAGGCAACAGAATGAAAATTCAACTAAAAAAAATGATAATAAAATAAAATAAAAAATACACATTGGTTAACTTTTCTTATTTGTTACTGGTCGTGGGGAAAGAACCAAGCCAAAGATGGGTTAGAATTAGAAAATAAAATGGAACCTGTGTGTTATTCTTAGTTGTCAAGAAACATAGATAACTGCTAGTTAGTTGGTCATATAACATTTAGTTGAAAATCATGCTATGACTTTTGAGACTCAGACCATACTCCAAGTTATTTTTATTGGTTGGATCTTATTTTGTTTTATTTTTACAGTTACTCAAAATTTATAACACCTGTGAGACCATGTTCAAAACTATAACTATTATTCATTAAAAATGTTTATTTTAGGTTCCTAAAAAAATAAACATTTTCAATATGTCATGGAATATGCATAACTCACATATTAAAGCAATGTTCCTAAATAAAGTTTGCAAGGGTAACTGAAAGCTACTATTTTGAGATGTCTGTGATGGGGGGAGGGAACTGAAGGAGCAAAATTCATGAATGGACACATACTATACACGCTGGTTTGAGTCTCATGGGTAAATTCTTTTGGTTTAAATTTTGTTGTTTAGGCCTTCAGTAAAATTTATAAAAACTTTTTTCTAGCCGGGCTCAGTGGCTCAGCCTGTAATCCCGCATCTTTGGGAGGTTGAGGTGAGTGAATTGCCTGAGCCCGCGGGTTCGAGACCCTCCTGGACAACTTGGTGAGACCTCATCTCTACAATAAATCAAAAATCAGCCGGGCATAGTAGCGCATGCCTGTAGTTCCAGCTACTCGGAAGACTGAGGCGGAAGGATTGTTGGAGCCCAGCAGGTCAAGGTTGCGGTGGCCGGGAGTGGCCACTGCACTCCAGTCTGAGAGACAGAGTGAGACTCCAACTCAAAAACAAAAAACAAAAAAAATTTTCTTTGAAAAAATGGGAGACATAGGATGCTATGACTCTAATTTTTTTCCTCTGGAGACGTTTGGAATGGCCTATGCCCATACAGTATTTCTTGGATATAAGCAATGGATTTTTGTACTCCAGAAATTTCTTGATAAATAAAAACCTTTGAAACTGCTTCCTAAATAATGGTTATCTGTATTTCACACTACTTACATAAAGCTTCTCTGACCAATATCAGTGTGGTGACAAACCACTTAAAGGCAAATTTGGTATCATTTTGTACTAAATGAAACATTTATTGTAATTCTATAATTCTTTTTGGCATAACTGAAACAGTATTATAAAGATTTTGCATGAAAATATGAGATAGAATGTAATTTGGGAGGAATCTGTTGACAAAAATCCACAGCAATAAACAAAAGACATTACATTTCATTTTTGGAAGAGAAGACTCAAACACTATTAAAATTGAAAAATGGTAAGTGATGCTCTGTGGTCACAAATAATGTCACAAAGTAATTTTATATTTTCTTAGTGATGAGCAATATGTTATAGATTAGAAGATATCCAAACATTTGTGAACTCTGGGGGTGGCAGGAAATGAAGATGTAGAAGAAAGACTAATACATGCTTTAACTCTTTCATTCACAAATGGTCCCAAAACACATGCCTTTCTAGTTAGGGTAGCCCCATATCTACCAAAATTTTAAGAAATTTCTCGTAAAATAATTTAAAAATTGTTTTCCCCACTTAAAGTTTTGTCTGGAATTAGTAATCCATGTTAAGCAGTTATCTTGATTTTCTACTAAAGCAGCACAAAAATCTGAACATTTATTTTCAAGAAAACTGCTTAAAAAGGACATGAAATAACAAACACTTCCTCCATGCCAAGCAGAAATAAAATTTAAAGATGAAATGATATAAAAAATCCAAATATGACATGCAAATTTTCAACATCATACACTGCAGTTTACTAGTCTCTTTTGGAACTTACCTTCTGTTGTTCCTTATCATCAGCTTTCATAGCTAGTATCAAGCTTCTAACAAAAGTCTGAAGTTTAAAGTATTTTTGCTTTTGAATCTCTAGCTCATTTTCAATGAATCTAACTTCTTCATTCTGAAGGAGAATACATTAAAACAATGCAATTACCTTCTGTAAACCTTTGACTGCTTGATGCAGTCAAAACTTTAAATGTTTGATGCACAAAAAAATTCCAGAAGACATAAAAGAATTTAAAGCATAAAAAAGTTATTCTGTTACTCAAAGATTGCCTTTTAAGCAAATAACCAACAGAAAACAATTTTCAATGTTAAAAATTCAATCAAATAAATTCCAGGAAGAAAAAGACCAAGAAGCAGCTCCCTTGTTGGAAAGACTGCTCTTGTATCAAACATAAATAGTATTTAGATTAGGATTAAGAGTGGAGTCCATTGACTCCAAGAACAATAGTAGATGCAGTAATATTGAATGTACCACTCAGCAAGTCAAATACTGATAATTGAAAAGGCTATGTTATACCAAAGATGGACTGAAATTACTAAGACGTTTTTAAGTAGTTTACTGAGCCCTTCACACTTAAGTCAGAATTTATTATTCAGAAAATATCTTCAAATGTACCACAGTGTACCACTAATGTGAGACCCAATTTATCTTCTCAATGCTTGCTAGTTGTGTAATAAAACAAACAATCAACCACTGGACTAAAATTTAGGAGTACTAGGACTACTGATAACTTTATAAACTTGGATGGGCCAACTAACTTCTCTGTGACTCTGTTTACTCATCAGTAAAATGGATATTATACTGGTATTCATTGACAGTTTTAGCTTTGAGGGTTATACAGCTCTAATAAGATAATAGCTATAGATGTACTCTGAATAGATTTACAGTTGAAGCTACAGTAATCAAGGAAGTGTGATATTGGCGTAAGAGTAGACATATAGATCAATGGAACAGAATAGAGAGACCAGAAATAAATCTACACATATATGGTTGATTGATTTTCAGGCAATTCAATGAACAAAGAAAGTATAGTCTTTTAACAAACAGCAATGGAACAAATATAAATCACATGTTAAAAAAAAAATCAACCCTTACCTTACATCATAGACAAAATGTAATTAAACATGCTTTACCAAATTAAGTGTAAAACCTAACACTATATAACTTCTAGAGGAAAACAAGAGAAAATCTTTGTGATTTTGGGTTTAGTCAAAAATTTAAATTAGAACACAAAAAATATGACACTTAAAAGAAGAAAAATTTCTTTAAAATAAACTTAGTTTTTAAAAGACACTGTAAAGAAAATAAGAATACATGCTACATATCGGGAAAAAATATTTGCAGATTACATATCTGAAAAAAGACTTGTATACAGAATACATTAAAATCTCTTACAACCCAATTACAAGGCCAGCAACAGAGTAAGAAGCAGGCAAAATATTGAACACACTCCATCAGAGAAGATGTCAGAATGACCAACAGGTGTGTGAAAAAAATGCTTAATATCATTTGTCATTAAGGAAATGCAAATTAAAAACACAATGAGATACTAGTACTGACATACTACAATGGTTACATTTAAGGAGATTGACAATACCAGGTGCTGACAAGAATGTGGAACACAATGCATACTTTATTGGTGGGAGTGTAATATGGTAAAGCCACTTTGGAAAATATTTTGGCAATTTCTTATACAATTAAGCATACTCTTTCTTACCACGTGACTCAGAAATCCTACTCTTAGGTATTTAGCCAAAAGAACTAAAAGCACATGTACTTGAAAAAGACCTATACATGAATATTTATAGCAGATGTATTCATAGTAACCCCAACTTGGAAACAGCCCAAGCTTTCATTAGCAGATAGATAAACAAACTGTGGTGGTGTTTACACAACCATGTCCACTTGTCAAAATTCATTTAACTGTATATATAAAGAGGTGAATTTTACTGTATGGAAATTATACATCAATAAACCTGGTTAAAAATTAAAATAACTCAAATAAAAATAACACTTTTTCTTTTTAACAAAGGCTTTGTACTCTTTGACCATCATCATTTCTTTCCCCACCCTTCTCCTAGCCTCTGGTAATCTCCATTCTACTCTCTGCTTTTTTGGGTTTGATTGTTTTAGATTCCACATGTAAGTCAGATCATGAGATATTTATCTTTCTTTGCCTGGCTTATTTCACTTAGCATAATGTTCTCCAATTTCATCCAGGTTTTTGCAAATCATAACATTTCTTTTTTAAAAAGCTGAATAAGCCATTGTCTTGAGGAGCTATGGTTTGGTCATATGCTCTTTGGGCTATGGCCAGGCGATGTTTTCTTAAGCTTTGGCCCCCTCCCCTGCCTTGGGGATTTGAATCTCTTCTTTCTCACTCTTTCTCTCTAATTTACCTTTTAAATAAATTGTATTTTTTAATCTAAAAAAAAACTGAATAGTATGCATGGTGAATATAGTAAATAATAATGTATTGTACATTTCAAAATTGCTAAAAGCATAAATTTAAAATGTTCTCATCACAAATATGATAAATATTTCAAGTGATGGCTGTGTTAATTAGTTTCATTTAATTATTCCATATTGTATTCATAAATCATAATATCACTTTACACCCTACAAATATACACAACTACAATTTGTAAATTTACAATAAAAAATAAAAATTGCTAAAAATAAATAATAAGCCAGCTCCCTTGCCAAAAACCATTAAAGTAGGCTATGAATATTCTCTGAACTTGAAGAATTGGTCTCAAAGAACATAGCAGGACTTTTAATAACATTTGTTCAAAAAACTGCATAAAATATATTACAATTAGTTGATTTTATGGGTATTTTTGTTGTTTCAATTGAGAGGTTGCTGCTGTATTAATTAAATTTGGTATGTGAACTTGTTTACTACATTGTTTATTTTATCAGCTCAGTTGAGAAATTATTTTCTTTGGTAAAACTGTTTCCTTTCAGAACATTTAATATCAAGTGACTTATCTGCACAAACTGAATTCCTTATCCAGAGGCATTCTATAATAAGTAAGCATTATAATAAAATTCAGTATGTTCCCGCCATAATACATTTTACTAATTTTAAACTTTGCTTTTATTAGTATTCATTGACTGAACAATAGTATTAGTAAAGTGCTGACCAAGAAGTCTTTTCAAATACAGGTGATTTGAATGCACAGTCATTAATTCACATTTGCAAAAGCCACAAAGAAGCATTTTTCATTATACAGCTCTCCAATTCTTCATGCAAATATTTCTTTTTCTGAGTAGTTATGCAATATTTGAAAAATATAAATAGCTTTATGATAATTTAATATTGCAGGCATTTTCTTGTCAGAGCTGGTTTTTACAAGTCTATTAAACACTTCCAATATAGGGAGTAATTTATTGTGTACTTTAGAGATTTTCTAAGTAAATCAAACGTGTGTGAGAGGAACTAGTAAGATAACACCAGTTTCCAAGTTTCACATAACAAGATCTAGCTCATTTTTCTTGTTAAAACCTTCCCTTTCTTTCCCAGTAAGCTTTGTCAATTCTTTTCAAGATGATTGTAGGGAGAACTCATTCCCATATGGACTAGAACTTAGAACTTTGATCTCTGAACAGGCTATTAATGGCTGCCAGGCCTGCGGTGCTATTTTATGATATAGCTACTTACTTCAGATACTGAGCTTATCAACTTGTCTCATAAGAAATTGGGATAAGTTAGAACTCCTACCATTATGGATTTCTACTGATGTATATCAATCAGAGACTCCACTATGCCCCAACTTAGTATTGATGGTTGCATAGTAATAATTATCAAATATACCATAGAAAACATTCTTTCAGTTTGCTACAATACATCCCAAGAATGAGAAATTGTTTAATTCAGTGTGGGAAAAAATCTTATAACAATCCTGATCCTGGTCTTAATTGATTTTATATAAATGAACACTTGCATAATAGTATTAAGTTTTTTCCCAAAGATAAGTTAATTCATTTGTTCACTCACTCAGCAACTACTGTTGCTACTGAATAAATATGTGCTAGCCCCTCAAGCAGGTAACACAGATGCATAAGGTAAGTCTCTGCCCTCAAGAAGTTTATAATTAATATATCTTCATGTGCTGCCTCACGATATTTTGGTCAATCACATACCACATATAATGACAATGGTCCCATAAGATTATAATGGAGCTGAAAAATTCCTATTGACTTGTGCTGTCATAGCCATCCTAATATAGTTGTGCAACACATTATATTTTCTATGTTTGGACACACAAATAATTACCATTGTGTTCCAATTGCCTATAATATTTAGTATAGTCACATACTATACAGGTTTGTAACCTGGAAGCAATAGGCTATACCATAAATTCTAGTTTTGGGTAATTACACTCTATGATGTTTGCACAATGATGAAATTACCTAACAATGCATTTCTAAGAGCGTACCCTCATCATTAAAATGATGCATGGTGGTACTTTAAAAATCAACAGTGATTTTCATCTCAAACAAGGAACAGTAGTATGTATATACAAATAAAGTACAATAGTTTGAAAGGAGATAAAATTTATAAGCTGTTAAGGTTGTTTTAAACCAACGTCCTGAAATCAGCAATGAGAACTGCTATTTAAGGTTTCACATTCCCTTCTTTAAGAATTAAAGTAACAGAGTACACATATGAGGTAACTGAAATATCATAAAATAATGATTATAAAAAATATATTTTCTATATAGGTGCTGACTTTTGAGAGTTAAAGAAAATAACTTTACTTGGGATGGTGATATGTTATAAAGGACATACCTAATAGGATAGTGAAGGACTCCTTGTTTCCACAGCATTGACCACAATGGAAAACACTGGATTATTAAATGCCTTTCTGAGTTCAGTGAAAATGTTAATTAACATTTCTGAATTGGAAACTGCTTTGTTCTGCCCTAATCTTCAGCTTCAAATCTTTTCAAGTGGGGTGTCAATTCAGAGGGGAGAGGTCTTGGAAAGAATTCCCTGAGCCTTCAGCCAAACCCTATCGAAGCTGTTTGAGGGTGTTAAGTGGAGCACACTTAATAGCTGTGCAATCCAGTCCTCTCATCTGTAGTTTCCACAGCCTGTGCCAAGTGGTGGTCTGAAGAGTCATTTAATCCCGAACTGGGCATTTAGAAATATTATATGACTATGTAGGAGAGATTAGCATGATCTCTTATACTTCACAACCAACAACTTTATAATTAAAAATACAGTGCTAGTTAAAAATATAGTTGAAATACAGGACTGTCTAGTATTATTTGACCAAATAACAAATACATTTCAAAAGATAATTTCCTTTTGTGTTTACAATGCTCAAAATTTTAAAACTTGACATGTTATAAACATCTGGAAAACAAAATCTGTTAAATGGCATAAATTTCAATTACAGTAAAACGGAAAAGATTTTTGAGAAAATGACAGCTGTTGTCTTTTCTGACTGAATATTATTTTCTGCCAATGTTTTAAAATTGCTAGTCTCTCCTATGAATGTTAATGGTATTCCATAACAAGAACTTTTGTGTATGGAAAGTAGGATAGTGGCCAAAATTTTAGAAGGCTCCAAAGTAAGATAAGATACTGTTTAACAAAGGAACAGCATTTACACATCTATGTAGAAAACATATTGACATACAGACTGATAGAATATGTCAAAATTTAATAAAAACAAAATTATGTATGGCACCTTGTCAAAGTAAGCCTTTTAGCTTAGTAATGAGTGACATTAAGAAAAGGTCATCTGTATTCATATTAATTCAATATTTGCTTTGGGAATTGTTTTCAAACTTCTCCTAGAACAGGTATATTATTATATTTTAAAATGGTCTATAGAAGAAATTGAAATTCAGGATAAAATTAGCAAGGGCCACTGAGAGACATCTCCCCTTTACCATCACTTAAAAAGGAACATTGGCTTTAGAGGGACTTTATCATAAATTTCATATTAACCACAACTGTGCACTATCCTAACTTGCCATACACCATCAATACTAACTTTTCTTGGCAAACTCTGCTTAAAAATAATAAACTAGCCAGCAATATTGAAATGTCCAGCACTGTGATTGATATTCAAGTTGTCTGAGAGAATCAATGTGGAGTCCCAGAATTCTTCACTTATCAAGGCAGAATAATATAGGTACTCTAAAAGTCTGCTTCATTTAATACTTTCTCTTAATGAATTCAGAATTTTAAATCATTTACCTTATAATCCAAGAGAGAATTCACTTGCTCTACTTCGGAATTACTTATCATGTCACTTTCTTCATCATCAATAATTTCTATTTTCTGTAACATAAATAGAGAAGTTTTCACGAATATATTTCAGTTGATTATCATTGCACTCAACAATGTATAGAACATATGCATTCAATATTCAAGTTATCTAGTATAGGTTATCTGGAATAAACTCTGATAACTGACTGACTTGTCAGTGTTACACACATTGTGTGTCTGAGCCACCTCTCGCTACCTTTAAGTGATGACTCTTAGTAAATTAAAAGATACTTTAATACTATTTAAGATAGAAATCTCCTTTTCACAGTATTACTTAAAAAATAAGCATTCAAGCTTTGTTTAAATAGTGCCTGACAGGGAACTTGCTTCCTGTAAAGGTAGTATATTTTAATGGTAAGTATATATAATTAATAAGAATGTCAGCCGGGCTCGGTGGCTCAGCCTGTAATCCCGTGCCTTTGGGAGGCTGAGGTGAGTGGATTGCCTGAGCCCGCGGGTTCGAGACGCGCCTGGGCAACTTGGCGAGACCTCATCTCTACAATAAATCAAAAAATTAGCCCGTAGTGGTAGCGCGCGCCTGTAATTCCAGCTACTCGGAAGGTTGAGGCGGAAGGATTGCCGGAGCCCAGCAGGCGAGGCTGCGGTGGCCGGGAGCGGCCACTGCACTCCAGTCTGGGTGACAGAGTGAGACTCCAACTCAAAAAAAAAAAAAAAAGAATGTCTTTCTTTTTTAAATCCTACATCCCTCTTTGCAACTTCTAAAATAAAATGTCAACATATGACATATATTCTTAAGTCAAATATAATGTTTAACAGAAATACATATTTGCTGCACTCCATTAGGTAGACAATTAATTGGAAGCATACATATATGATGTAATCATAAAAATTGCATGGTGATGTGTTTCCTTCACTTGACAGTAATGCTAGGAATGAGGAACAGGAAGAGAGAAAGAAAGGGCTGTGTGTGTGTGTGTGTGTGTGTGTGTGTGTGTGTGTGTGTGAGAGAGAGAGAGAGAGAGAGAGAGAGAGAGAGAGAGAGAGAGAGAGAAATAGAGAGACTAAGAGAGAGAGAGAGATAGAGATTGAGAGAGACATCTGCCCTTAGCTGTAGAATTAAGGTACAGCATAGCTTGTACAGTATCTTGCCCACAGTAGGTACTAATTAAACAAATGTCAAAAGAATGAACAAAACAGCTCAGTGTTGATTAAAAGAATGACCAATAAGCTCCAACCATAGGGGTAAAGCCAGTTCTGTAATCATGTAACCTTTTTTAAAAAGCAAAAACAAAAGATATAAATAAAATCAACCTTAATTTTTTCTTTTGCATGTAAATTACACAGTTAAGATAAAACATCTTTAAATATTTAAACACTGTCAACCCCCAAAAAATTTTAAGGGGAAAAGCTAAGCTAGAGTTAGTCACTAGATAGTCTTTTAAGAACGAGCACACAATTGGAAACATGTAGTCGGCACAATTTGAAATCAGACTTCCTACCCAGCAGCATATATGGTGATTATAAGTCACAAACAAACATGGAATGATCATATTTGAAATATTGCCTACAAGGATACGATACCATTAAAGGGTTTGTGACCTGCACGTTTCTGAGTCAGGAAGACAGCTGTAAAGAAATTGCTTTCTACTGCTGCCTGGATATGAATCTAATGTTTTATTTTCCATTATACTTACAATAAACTTGGAGTTTAATTGTGTTGGCTTTCCTTAAACCTCAGATTTGATTTTTTGTGTGTGTTTTTTACATTTTCTACCTATTTGAATTAGTTCTGGGGAAAAGAAGTTAGGTAATTCAGGGATGAAAGTACCAAAGTCCACTGTATAGATTTGTGCACATAAATAGGTTTTATATGTCTGTGTAATTTGTCATCTATGAATAATTGGGGGCACTCACACGTTGCAGGCAAAGTGGATCAACCTTGAAAAGTTTGAAATTTTGTCTCTAAAAATCAATTGCTCTTGAAAAATTAGGTGCCCTAATAACTACGAGTCATCCAAGCCATGACTTCATTTGTTATCTTCAAATGTCTGCTACAAGGAAGATTCTATGTAGAGAAATTCAGGCTAAAAATGAGCATGTCTTTAAAGAAAAAGAAATCTCAATTTGTAAATAATTATACATAACTTGTGCACTATAACTCAAATCTATAGCGGGAGATTATTATTTGGTGGAATTTAAGATTAGCACAATTCATAATTGTAGAAAAAGGTATTATTAGCTACTTGAGGAAAACACGACTTTGCTTCAAAAATCAAAGCTTTTTTTTCATATACTTGTTGAACTTAGTGTTAGAAGGATAAAACATGGACTTCAACCAGAACTCAAATCAATAAAATGCAATCCTAAACTATATTCTGCATGTGGAAAACATTGCTGTATATTGTTGATGTTTAACAAAAATATAGCAAAACTGTATTTTATGTGCTCAAGTTTTTTTAAAGAGTTGTGGAAAGTTTATAGTATCCAATGAACAATGTTTATAATGGAAACCAGGGTAAATCTTGAAATCACAGACATTTTGCAACAGACAGATCCATTGCAGGGCCCATTTTTAAATGGTTGCAATAAGGCATAGAATAGTTATTCACAAGCAAAAACAAAAGCACAATGACATTCCCTTTAATCTCTTACTTTAGTTTAATACTATCTTTAGTCTAGTATTACTTGATGGGGTCAGAATATTAACAGATGCTGCTAAAACAGCTGCTTAGAAAACTTCACTATATGTTTACATTTTCATACAACCCAGTTTATTCCACACATAGCCTGCCTCTGTAATTCAAACTCTTAATATTGTCTTACTTCCTTAACTGATTTTAAAGATGACTAATGGTGTTCAATTTAACTAGAAAGAAGAACAGGTTTCAAACACAGAATATATAGGTGTGGTATGAACAGAGAACTCAGAGTCAGAAATACATGTATCCAAGTGCCAGAACTAACAAAGATATCCTTTATGATCTCAGACTAAAGTCTGTTTTAGTTCTGCCATTTGTCAAATGAGAAAAAAAAAAATCTGCTCTTTGCTAAATGTGTTGAAGAAAAATAGATTGTTATGTATAAAATGTCATATATGTACTAAGTATTAGGTTTTTATATTGCAACTCTCCTCAATAAAAAAATTAGAGTTATACATGATAGCATTCTACATTTCATTTACTAAACCCTCAAAGATATAAAATTTCATTGGGAAAAGCTGTATTTGGTTTGTGAAGTAGAGCAAGACATTATTCTGACAAGACTGACCAACTGGAAACATGTCCTTGACATCCATCACATAATGAGGAAAAATTTCAAACTGTACATACCACATTATCTGCAGATACTGCATGGTGGTCCTCCTCCTTATGAGCCCTTGCCTCATTTGAAACAACTTCATTGGGCTCTTCTATAGAAAAAAAAAAAAGGCCATCATTTCATTTTTCATTCTTCAAGCCTTTATGGAGAACACTTTTTTCAAGATCATTTAAATAATTTCTGTATTGTGAAAAAACGTACACATGCTTTGACGAGTAATTCTACATCAAACCATGTATTCTGAGATAATAAGCATGGATGGCGGCAAATACAAGCATAGTCACTATTGTATTATTTATAATTGCAAAAAATGGATGAAACCTGTATCTGATACAGAGACCTGCTAATGTAGGTCCATATTGTCACAGCCCCTAGACAAGGGCATGGCAAGGGCTCAAGCACTCCTGTACGTTCCTGAACAATATTCCTGAGAACTAATAAAAGGTGTGCTTCTCCTTATCTCCTATGCACTCCCAGTAAGTAGCTTCAGGGCATCCTCAACTTCCCTGTAGTCTATGCCCAGTCGACTGAAAGATGCAAATTCCCATTTACTCTCTTTTTCTGAGTGGTCACAAATTTGAATAATATAGTATCAATGTAATCATAAGCCTTGTGACTTGTATAACTTTTGTATCAATGTGATCATCAGTTTTGTGATTTGTATAACTTTTGCATAATGCATGATGTCTTAGGCCTTGTAAACTCCCTTTACGCGATGGTAAGCTTGATTTATGCTTCTGCTGGGCCCTATTGATAAAAGCTATGAGATAACTTTGATACCTGGCACCAGGAAGTTTGGACCAAAAAATGTCACTGTAGATAAATGTGGCTGAAATCCAAATTCTATACAATGCTCTGCTGGTCACGTGGCTAATGCATAGGTACTAACAACTCTGGACTTATAAAAGTAAACTGTAAAAGCCTGGAGGGTGAGCAGAACCATTTTAGAAAGACCTCGAGTCTGGCTCTGCTCCCTCCATTTCCCTGCCCCTTTGATTTACTGGTATCAAGGAGAGCAGCCATGTGTTACGGGGACCATAGCATATCTTTAACAATGGAGGATTGGGAGAACTCATTTAGGCTATCCCTATAATAAATATTATGAAGCCACTAAAAATGAAGTCGATATAGTTAATAACAAAGAAAATATTAATGGTCTACTGAAAAGTGAAGTGAAGGTAGTAAAATTTACTGTGTGGGTATATATAATCTTATTTTTGTTAAAAAAAGTATAAATTTTATAAAGATTAGCACCATTTATAACAAAGCATTGCCATTATTATTTCTGGATGGCATTATTCATAAATTTTATTCAGAATTGGTATTGTTGCTTATTTGTATTTAAACATGTTTCTACAATGAATATGCATTGTTCATTCTAATAGGAAAAAATTATAAAAATAATTTTCAAATACGTGATATAAAACCATAAATACAGCACATTTCCAATTTTGTAAAATGGTGTGTGCATGCGAATGTATGTATACACACACACACACACACACACACTCTCCTGTATATATGCAAAGAGGAAACATGGTAAAAATATTCCCCCACTCTTATTTTTAGAAGGGTTATCACCGAGAGGTAGAATTATTTATATTTTTTATTGTATTTTCCAGTATTTTCTACAATGAACGTATGTTCCTTTTCTGATCAAAAGTCAATATTCTAATAATGAGAAAATACATAAAATAAATCAATTTAGAAAACCAGTCTAATGAAAAGCTCTCTGAGCTGATCTAGAGGAAGTGCCTGGTTCAAGGCATAGGGTGTCTGTGTATATAATCTCCTCTTTCTTAGATTACTCTCACCTATAAGCCTTAGAAAAACCGGGCAGCTTTCCTCTCTCTTTTTCTGCACTGCCTTGTCATGGAGCTTATTTGGATAAATACTAGTGGAATTTCTCAGTCTTTTGGTAAATGACATTTTATTTCACCTTAGAAAGTAGAACAAAAATATTTAGTAATCTTCCTAAGACTTTTTCCAATCCATTCCCTCCCAGGGAAAGACATAAAAGAGTGCCTTGTATGAGCATAAGAAGATGATTATAAGGAAAATAGGGTTGATCCAGGAACTTACATAATAGAATATAGAGGATAAAATATTAAAATCCAGAAAAACCTTACCGGAATTTTAATTCAAGATCCACTATAAATTCAATTCAAATACGTTTCTATTTCACTAGATTTTCAAAATATTTTATTATGTATATTTAAGGTATGCAACATGATGTTATAATACATACATAGTAAAATGATTTCTATAGTAAAACAAATTAGCATATCATTCTCAGAGTTAACCATTCTCTTCTACAAGAGCAGCTATAATATACCCATTAAGCAAAAATTCTGAATGCAGTACACTATTAGTAATTGTAATACTCATGTTGTACATTAGATCTTTTCACTTATTCATCTTACATATTTGCTATTTGTGTATCCTTTGACTTAGATGCTCCCATTTTCTCACTCTCATCCTAGTAACCACTATTTTATTCTCTATCTCTATATATTTGGGTTTTTTCTCTCTTGCCCTTTGCCACAACATGGATAGACCCAGAGAGCATTATGTAAAGTGAAATAAGCTGGATACAGAAAGGAAATTATAACATGATCTCATTTACATGTGGAATAAAAATATGTCAATTTAAAATTTTAAGAAGAATGGTTCCTAGACAGAGGAAAGTTGAGTTACTTATTTTGTAGACATTTCAATTTACAGACATTTCAATTCCTATGTAATTGGCAACAAAATGAAATTGATACAGAGACCTGCTAATGTCTATCCATATTGTCACAGCACCTAGAGAAGAACATAGCAAGGGTTTGAGTACTCCTGTGTATTACTGAGCATATCACTGAGAGGCCCCTTATCTCCTGTGCATTCCCAGTAAGTAGCTTCAGGGGATCCTTAACTTCCCTATAGTCTATGCCCAATCAACTGAAAGATGCAAATCCCCATTTACTCTCTTTTTCTGAGTGGTTATAAGTTTGAATAAAATAGTATCAATGTAATCATCAGCCTTGTGACTTGTATAACTGTTGTATCAATGTAATCATAAGTTTTGTGATATATATATAACTTTTACATAACGCATGATGTCTTAGGCCTTGTAAACTCCCTTCACACTATGGCAAGCTTGATTAACGCTTCTGCTGGGCTCTATTGATAAAAACTATGAGATACCTCTGACACCTGGCACCAGGAAGTCTGGACCGAAAAATGTCACTATCGATAAATGCGGCTGAAACTCAAGTTCTATATAATGCTCTGCTGGTCACATGGCTAATGTATAGGTAGGTACTAACAACTCTGTACTTATAAAAGTGAACTGTAAGACTGGAGGGTGAATAGAACCATTTTAGAATGACTTCGAGTCTGGCTCTGCTCCCTCACAAATAAACTTCTTTCTACCAGTTCCCTGCCCCTTGATTTATTGGTATCAAGGGTGAGCAGCCAAGCATTACTCGGGCCATAACAAAATGAAAGGAGGAAAAATTGTCATCAGTATTAGCTGTAAAACTGGTGGCCTCAAATAAGCAGTTATGGCTCATTGATGAGACTATTACAGTATCATTTCTTCCTTATAGTTTGGCCTTACATTCCTGTTCTCACTTGCTCAAACTTTGTATACAGCTTGGCTTTACTAAAAACATACCCATGCATGGTTTGATTATTTTGGAAGATTTAAATAAAAGCTATTTTGAGGATTTATAAAATAACAGGATATGAAGTTGAATAAGAAATGTTTTTTTGTTTTGTTTTGCATATGAATAGCTTCAACATTAGTGGAAGTTTGAAAGCTAAACACTGTCAATGTGCCTGGTAATTCCTCGAGGAAAGCAGCTCTGTTAATTGGAAAATAAACAAATAAGTAGAACTCTAGAGGGCACTCTATGTAGTAGTGGCTATATACTCACACTAAGTAACTGTAGGTAGAATTACCTTTCATATACACACCCACATAATGGATACAGCTGAAAAAGAGACTTTGTTATAAAATTTAATATTATGAATGTTAATTGTTCCCATGCTTTAAAATATTTGCCTCTTAGAATAGTAAACATCTTTAAAATGTTCTAACATTAAATGTTTTTTTTCCACAATATATTAATTGTAGACCCAGAACTTCAAATTAAGGAACTCAGTCATCCAGCTATTACTTTTACTAGAGCTTGCAGTTGTGGGAAATGAGGCAGGGTAACTAGCACAAGTTAGATATAGATAGATAAATTTTCCATAGGTAGGTTTTAGGAAGAGTTCAGACATTTTAAAAATTACATTTTACTGCAGGCCAAGCTGGCAGCCTACCCCCCACCCTTGGCAAATCAAAAGAAAACTCTATCAGATGCAAGAATAGGACCACCCAACCTTTCAATTCATGTTTTAGCATAATAATCTCTAAGAATCTTTTAGGTTCCCTGTGGAAGGCCAAATAGCTTAACTGACCAAAGCCATATAAATGATAATAAGACCACCTTTTAGCTAAGGAACTTGTGAATTGGAAATGTCCAGCAGGTGTCCTGCAAAAGACAATGTCTCTTACCATAAGGACTCAGAGATGTCATTCTTCAGAGTGGAAATTTCTAGGTTCCACCCTCTTTAGCATATCAAACTTTGTGAAGGTATATCAGGTTTATTGTAAAAAGCAAAGGTGTGGTTTCTTTTGCCCATGCCAACTGTGGCATGTCTCCCTTTCTTTTCTCCCTTTTCTCTCTAATAAACTTTGTTTTAAAACTTTGCTTGCTGCTCTACAATTCATTTTAGAAACAAGTCAAAGAATCCATGGGATTTAGGCCGCATCCCACCCCCTTCAGGAAAGGGAAGCTTTTACTTTTTCAGTCCCAACCACACCTCTTTTCTCTTAACTCCCACTCAGGGAAGGGAAAAGGAAATGGGAGAGGGGGAAGGTGGAAGTTAGAGGTAAGCCAGAAGCTCTGTAGCAGATAAGTATTTATCTCTCAGAAACAAAAAGAATGGAATTAAAATGACTAAAACATCAGCAACATTTTTCATTGACTCTGGTAAACATGTCTTTTACTGAATTAAAAGAAAAACCCTTACTTTTGCTTCTGCAGATTTTTCTAGACCATTTAAATGTGATTTGTAATTGATTTTAATATGTAATATGAAAGCCCTGATTTAAATATGTATATTTCTCTTTTTTGACACTTAGAAGACTCTTACCCTATTGAATCAACAGCCCTATTTTAAGGAATCTGAGTTTCAGTTTTTGAAATTGAATGGCAGCTACTCTGATTATCTTGTATCTATATCTCTAAGATGTAATTAATGGAAACTTCAAAGTAGTAATACATTTAACTACATTTTCATAAACTGGAAGAGAATAGGGTTAGCATATTTTAAAGGTATGATATTTGATTAGGCCAGATGATAAAATTCACTTAATCATTAAAAAAAAAAAAAAGAACCACACAGTCAAACCAATCAGATTAGTATTCTCCATCAGCAAAATGAGGAAAAGAATAGAGTAGAACTAGTAGGAAACTGTATCAAATAGAACTCTTCAATATTTGAAAATGCTTTTATGCTTTTCTGTTGCAATTTTTGATGAGAATGAAAAGGTTGCCATGCAACTGTGAAAAATAAACCACCAAGAGAAGAGAAATTCTAGTCAATCATACTTCTCATCAAGTGTTTTTTGATTCACACATTAAATTCTTTCTCTCCTTTTTCTTTCTCATTAGGTCTTGATTACTATGCCAGCTGTCATTTAAGACAATGGATGCCAATGTAGGAGCAGTGGTCCATTAAAAGTGAATAATTAAAGTGGACTTTATAATTAACTTTTACTTTTTCCATTAAATACTTATTTTATAAAATTCTCTTAGGTGAGGAAGTGGGAATTGGGGAATGAAACTCCACTTAGGATCTTTTGTATTGTATCAGAATATTTCCTTGCAGCTTTCCCACCCATCCACAGAAACACACAAATTCCTACTTCCTCCTCTCCCTCAACTAGCTGCCAGTTAGCAGCCTCTAAAGATTCAGTCATGAGTCACTGGGAATATCCAAGTATCCCCAGGCTCGTATAATTTTGTAAAGACTAGCAGAAGACAAAAATGATTTAATGGACCCACTATATTTAGAAATAAAGAATTTGAGAATGGTGTAGTGTTTCTTTTTTTCTCGATGATTTTTAAATCTGTTTCACAATTTTCCTGTATGCTGTTATTTATTATCATCTTCAATATGCATTAAAAATGTTGAAAAAGAAAGAGAGAGAGAGAAACTTGGATATTCACACAGCTTACCCTTTAAACACCTGGTCTTAAAATACATGGACCACTTGATATTAACAGCTTTCCTTTTCCTTTCATTACTCCTGAAATCTGCTTTTCTTCCCCTTCCCCATACAATTCATTGTCTTTTCAAAAAAACTTCTTAAACACCCAATTCAATGACATCCTCATTCTTTTTTTCTACTCAGTCTTTATGAGACTACTGAAAAAATAATCTCTCTTTCTTAAATCTCTCACTTTTTTTTTAAGAGACAGGGTCTTGCTATGTTGTCCAGGCTGGAGAGCAGTGGCTATTCAAAGGCACAATTACAGCACACTGGAGTCTCAAACTCATAGTCTCAAGTTATCCTCCTGCCACAGCCTCCAGAATAGCTAGGACTACAGGCACATACCACCATGCCCAGCTGTTTTCTCAGTTTTAGTATTAGCATACTGTAATTGTTCTCTGTTTCTGAATGTTCTTTCAATGGCTCCCTTTTCTCCTCTAGCATCTAAGTCTGGATATCTATCAACACACAGTCCTTGTTCATTGTCTTTTCTAATTTGGTTTTGTTTTTTATTTCATCACTTAACTAAATATTCCATTTCTATAGCTGGATAGTTTTAGTCTCTATGTGTGAGTGACTCCTTATTTATTTTCATGTCTTAAGCCCTCTTCTGAGTTCCACACACATACCCAAGGGCCCGCTAGACAGCTTTACATGGATGTCCTGCCATTATCTAAAATTCAATACATGAAAAACTTAATCTATCTTTCTATGATATCCTATCAATTTAATGCAATGCCAATACATGTCTTGAATGTATTTTGGAGAAGGAGATTGGGAAATGTTATGACTAAACTATTCTAAAGAACCAATGTGTTACAAAAGCAAAGAAGAACAGACCCCTACCAGATATTAAGACATTTTATAAAGCCACAGTTGTATACAATCAGATAAATGTAACAAAGTAAAATATATATATATATATATACACATATACATATATTGTATATGTATATACATGAGCATGCATGCATATATATGTATGTTTGATTAAAAAGCTACTGTTTAACCCACTGGAAAAAAGATTGAATTATCGACAAATAGTGTAGGAACAATTGGTTAACTGTTTGGAAAAATAAAATTAGGTATTTTTTTTACACATGTTAAAACAAAATAAATTCTAGGTGAAATAAATGTCAAAGGATATTATAGGCAAATATAGGGGTGGATTGCATAATTGTAGTATAAGGAAGGACTTTGTAATCATTTCACCAAAGTCAGAAACCATATAGGAAAGTTCTGGTAGATTTGACAATAAAGTTGTCAAAAAATTGCAAACAAAAATTTTGACATCCGAAAACACCATATGCAAAATTAAAAGGCAATCAATAAACTGGGAAATATAGTGTTAATATTCTAAATAAGGCTCGATAAAGCAAAAGCAAAATGGAGAAATTCATGCTTCTCTCTGTTTCTCAATCATAGATGCAAAAGACCATATCTTGATTTCATTTATAGAAAATACCCAGAAAAGAGAAATTTATATAGTCAGAAAGCAGATCAGTGGCTGCTTGGAGTTGAGGGTGGGAAAGGGAAGCGACTATAAATGAGCTTAAGGGAGCTATTGAAGTGATGAAAATGATTTAAAATTTGAAATTTAGTGATGGTGATGACTGCACCACTTCATAACATTTACTAAAAAAACCTCGAATTCTACATTTACATTGGATGCATTTTGTGATATGGAACTTAAACCTTAATAAAAGTGTTAATAAAAATGTATCATAAGAGAACTGTTTCTATGCTTAAAGACAAATGAAACATACTTCTCATGGACCAATGATTTAATTTTATGATATTATTTGAATTCTCATTTAGAGAAGAATTGAGAAGTATTATAAAGATGACCCAGTCTAATTTCCTTTTGCAGATAAGAAAACTAAAGCCCAATGAATTAAGCGTTTTGCTTGAAGTAACATAATCAGCTAATAATGGAAAAGCTAGAATTTGCACCCAGGTTTGTTAACAACTAACCTGGTGTTTGTCACATTATGATAGTAATCTTTCATTATAATGTATTTATAATGCTTTAAACTAAACTGACAAGAATTGCAATAAAATAAAGATTTAGTTAATTATAATATATGAATTTTATTTTATTTTATTTTATTTTATTTTTTAGAATTGGAGTCTCACTCTGTCGCCCAGACTGGAGTGCAGTGGCCGCTCCTGGCCACCGCAGCCTCGTCTGCTGGGCTCCAGCGATCCTTCCGTCTCAGCCTTCTGAGTAGCTGGAATTACAGGCATGTACTACCATGCCCGGCTGATTTTTTGATTTATTGTAGAGATGAGGTCTCCCTGCCCAGGCGGGTCTCGAAACCGCGGGCTCAGGCAATCCACTCACCTCAGCCTCCCAAAGGCGCGGGATTATAGGCTGAGCCACCGAGCCCGGCTATGAATTTTATAATATCCAATATTTCTAAATGTGGGGAATGATTATTGTGGTAGATAAATGTTCTTTGTGATGACTTGATGCAGGAGACTATTTAGGTGGAGGCATTACGAATAATCTATTTCTTTTCAAATGGTTGGCCAAATGTTTTGAAGAATCTAGATTTGAAGTGCAGTGAGCCTAAGAGCACATAAAAATGCATCAAATTTACAAAAGCTATTATTAGGAGTTTCAGCATATAAAGTACCTGGAGAGCTTCCTTCAGACAAACAGATGGATACTTCATCATTTTTGTCATTATCCTCTCCTACTTCGGTCCCAGCTTCCTCTCCTGGTGTGAGTGAAGACAAAGAACCCAACTCAGGCTGCACAGAGAAATCAGCAGGGCCTCCTCTTGGAGGTGGAACTTCAATCCCCATTAAACGATATTTCCTTCTTCGATTCCCAATCCAAGTCTTTATGAGAGAAATACAAGAGGAAGTTTTGTAAACATAGAAAACTTAACAGTTGTGGCCATTAAAATAATTAATGAATGCTACATAAAATAGGATTAAAAATAATAAAAAGGTATATAGAATAAAATGTTTATGCCAATAAGATAAAATAAAGATTGTTTTAATTTTTAGAGTTTATTTATTTTGTTTAAACTGACACATTATAACTGCACGTTTATGGGGTATAGTGTGAAGTTTTAATACATGTATACATTGTGTAATGATCAAGTCAGGGTAGGTAGCATGTCAATCACTTCAAACCTTTATCATGTAATAATTATGTTTTTACTTTAAAATATTTTATTAGCAGAAAGAGGGTATTTATCTAAAGACTCAGACTTTGAAACAATGTGCACTCTACTTCAGGTCAATTGTTTCTGTTTTGTTTTGTTTTGTTTATGGAAAAAAGAATTCACCAAATCTTTCAAAAAATATTTTCTTTTTCAAATATAATCAGGCATAGAGATATAAATATAGTTCAATTTCCTTTTCTAATCCTACTCTTGCTAGATGAAAATATGTTCTCTATTAACTTTGTTTGGCTCTCTATGTTGCGTTGTTACTTCAAGTATTCTAGAATTTCATTTTATTAGATTTAAACTAATTCAAAAAGGTTAAATTGAAGTAATTTTAGATTCACAGGAAATTTCAAAGATAGATCTGTGTATTCTTCACTCCATTTTCTCCAGTTTACATCTTACACGATTATAACACAACATCAAAAGCAGAAAATTGATATTGTACAATATGTGTGTGTAGTTCTATGTCCGTTTATCACAACATTTCTCTGCCCCTTCTTCCAACTACCCTTAACCCTTGGCAACCACTAAGCTGTTTTTCACTGCTATAACTGTGGGTTATCAAAACTATTCGATAAATGGAATCATATAGTATGTGACTTTTTGAAATCAGTTCTTATCATTTAGCATAATTCCCTGGAGGTTTGTTCAAGTTGTGTGTATCAAGAGTTCATTCCTTTTTATTGCTAAACAGTATTCCATGATATGCACGTACCAATGTTTGTTTAACCATTTACCTGTTGAAGGATACCTGTGTTATTTTCAATTTTTGGCTTATGACATAGAAAGCTGTTACAAACAGTGATGTATAGGTTTTGTGCAGACAAGTTTTGGGGATTTTTTAAAGGGTAAATGCAAAATAATGCAATTTATGGGTCATGTGATTACATGTTAAGTTTTATAGGAAGCTGCCAGAGAAGCTGTGCCATTTTGCATTCCTATCAGCAATGTATGAGAGACCTAATTTCTCAGCATTCTTGCCAACATTTAGTATTGTCAGTATTTTTTAAAATTTAAGCTGTTCTCACAGGTGTGTTTAGTGACAGCTCATGGTGTTCTTAATTGATTTCCCTAATGCCTAGTGATGTTGAACATCTTTCCATGCGGTTATTTGTAATCTCTATATCTTCTTTAGTGAAAAGTCTTTTCATTTTCTAATTTGTTTCTTTTTAGTGTTGAGAGTTCTCTGCATATTCTAGATATGAGTTCTTGGCCAGATATGTGGTTTGCAAATATTTTGTCCCAGTCTGTAGCTTCAATTTCTATTCTCTTGGTCTTTTGCAGCACAAATTTAAAACTGTAAAAAAATTTATATAAGTTTTTAAAAAGTAGGTTCATTAAAAATATCAGTAAAAATTGGCAAATATTTATCAAGTCTGGAAAAAAAAAGAGAAGAGACATAACTTATTAATATAAATACGAACAAGGAGATACCACTACAAACTTCACAAACATGAAAAGAATAGTAAGGGAATACTATAAACAACTCTACACACACAAATTTAACAATGTAGATAAAATGGACAAATTCCTTGAAAAGTGAAAACTACTATAATATACAATAGATTACTTGAATAGCCTAATAATTATTAAGGAAATTTAATTAATCATTAACAACTTCTCCAAAGAAGAAATCTCCAGGCCCTCAAAACCCACAGCTAACATCATATTTAATGGTAAAAAAATAGAATGGTTTCAATTAGGAATAGGGAACAAAACAAAATGTTCACTCTGACCATTCTTTTTCAACATAGTACTAGAAGTTCTAGCCCATGCAATAATTTAAGAAAGGGAAAAAAGGTATTCAGATCAAAAAGGAAGAAATAATGTGTTATCCATGTTTGAGGATTACATGATAGTCTATGTAGAAAATCCCAAGGAATCTTTTTTTTTTTTGAGTTGGAGTCTCACTCTGTCGCCCAGACAGGAGTGCAGTGGCTGCTTCCGGCCACGGCAGCCTCGACCTGCTGGGCTCTGGTGATCCTTCCGCCTCAGCCTTCCATGTAGCTGGAATTACAGGCGCGCGCTACCACGCCCGGCTAATTTTTTTATTTATTGTAGAGGTGAGGTCTCGCTGCCCAGGCGGGTCTCAAACCCGCTGGCTCAGGCAATCCACTCACCTCAGCTTCCCAAAGGCGCGGGATTACAGGCTGAGCCACCAAACCCGGCAGTAAATTATTTTTAAAATGATGTTATATTTCCTAACTTCCCAGAGAAATGGCAGAAGTGTTTTTTAAATGTTTTTAAGATTCCTTGAAGCCGGGCTCGGTGGCTCAGCCTGTAATCCCGCGCCGTTGGGAGAATGAGGTGAGTGGATTGCCTGAGACCGTGGGTTCGAGAACCGCCTAGGCAGGCGAGGCCTCATCTCTACAATAAATAAAAAAAATTAGCCGGGCGTAGTAGCGCGCGCCTGTAGTTCCAGCTACTCGGAAGGCTGAGGCGGAAGGATCGCTGGAGCCCAGCAGGTCGAGGCTGCGGTGGCCGGGAGTGGCCACTGCACTCCTGTCTGGGCGACAGAGTGAGACTCCAACTCAAAAAAAACCAAAAACAACAACAAAAAAACACTTCTGCAATGAATAAGTGAATCCATCAAGGTCTTGGGATACAAGATTAATGTACAAAATCAATTGTGTTTTTATATAGTAAAAATTATCACACTGAAACTGAAATAAAAATATAATACTATTTTCAATCAATAAAAAAATCAAATACTTATGTGTAAATCTAACAAAACACATACAGGGCTAATATGCTAAAAACTACAAAGCACTGACAAAAGAAATCAAAGTAGTTTTACATAAATGGAGAGAAATTCTGTGTTTATTTATTAAAAAATTCGGTATACTAAAGGTGCCAATTCCCTCCAAATTGATATACAGTTTAACAGAATTTCTATCAAATCCCAGCAAGAATTTTTGTGTATACAAGGTAATTCTAAAATTTTATTGAAAGGAAATTAGTTAGTATAGTTAAATAGTATTGAAAAAAGGAATAAAATGTAAGGAATCTATCCAGTTTCAATTTTTATTATATACCTATATTAATCAAGACTGTGTAGTATTAGCAGAGGGCTAGTCATAGATCAACAAAACAGACAAAAGAACTCAGAAATAACCTTATACAAATATGACCAGCTTAGCTGACTTTTGATAAAGGTGCAAAAGCAATTCAAGGAAGAATTTTTTTTCACAGAAATGATGCTAGAGCAATTGGATATCTACAAAAAAAAAAACAAAAATTGGCCTCGACCTAAATCTTATACCTTATTAAAAAATGAACTCGAAATGGATCACATATTCAAATATGAAAAATAAAACTACACAACTATTAGAAGATAACTTAAAGAAACAACCTTTGGGACCTAGAACTTGGTGAATAATTCTTAGAAATGGCACTAAAAGTGTAATTCACAAAAGAAAAATCACTTGCAGGGGTTTTGATTGTGATTGTATTGAATCTATAGAATGTTGGAAAGAACTGACATCTTGATAAAACTGAGTCATTCTATTTATGCTCATGGAATATCTCTGTTTTTATTTCTTTCATCAGAATTTTTTGTAGTTTTCTTCATATAGACCTCGTGCCTTATTTGCTATATTTATATGTATATATCTAATTTGAGGGAAGCTAAAACATTTTTTTCAACTTCATTGATTTTTGCTCATACTTTTATTATTTCCTTCCTTCTGTGAGTTTAGATTATGCATGATAAATGTTTACTTTAGCTGTATCCCACAAATTTGGTGTTGCTTTCTAAATACTGCCCAATGTGCTTTTATCTTTAATATTCCTTCTTGAATGCTCTTCCTTTTTTATGTAGCTCTTCATTTCTGACCCATATTATTTTCCATCTCTCTAAAGAACTCTGAGTATTTTTTGCAAGGCAATTCTACTGACAATAAATTCCCTACATTTTTGTCTGAGAAAGTATTTCTCATTCACTTATGAAGGATAATTTTCTAGAGTACAAAACAGAATTCTAGGTTGGAGCTTTTTGATTTTCTTTTAACACATTAAATATTTCATTCCACTGTCTTTTTGTTTGTAGTTTCGGAGAAGACAATATTAACTTTTATATTTGATCCTCTATAGGTAAGGTGCTTATTTTTCCCTTTGGTGTCTTTCAATATTTTTTAAATTTATTTTTCATTTTCTGCAATTTGAGTATGATACAGCTAGGTGTAGTTTTTCATTATTGTTGCTATTGTTTTACATTTATCCTACTTGATGTACTCTAAGCTTCCTGGATGTGTGGTTTGGTGTCCAACATTATTTAGGGGAAAAATTCTCAGTCATTATTGATTCAATTATTTTTTTCTGTTCTATTTTCTCTTTCTGGTGATATTTCCAGTATATGTATGTCACATCTTTCATAGTTGTCCTACAGTTCTTGAATATTCTGTTCCATTTTTATCAGTGTTCTTTGCTTTCTAGTTTTGAAAGTTTCTATTACTATATCCTCAAGTTCAGAGATGCTTTCCATAGCCATGTCCAATCTGTTCATGAGTCCATCAAAAGCATTTTTTATTTGTTACAGTATTTTTGAGCTTTAGCATTTGTTTTTGATTCTTTCTTAGAATATTCATCTCTCTGCTTATATTACCCATTTGTTCTTGCATGTTGTGTATTTTCTCCTTTAGAGCCCTTAACATATTAATCATA